CGTTCTCCTGTGTGTGACGTTCTCCTGAGTGTCATTCTCCTGAGTGTGACGTTCTCCTGTGTGTGACGTTCTCCTATGTGTGTCGTTCTCCTGTGTGTGTCGTTCTCCTGTGTGTGTCGTTCTCCTGAGTGTGACGTTCTTCTGTGTGTGACGTTCCCCTGTGTGTCGTTCTCCTGTGTGTGACGTTCTCCTGTGTGTGACGTTCTCCTCTCTATGTCATGTTCCCCTGTGTGTCATTCTCCTGTGTGTGACATTCTCCTCTCTGTGTCATGTTCTCCTGTGTGTGTCGTTCTCCTATGTGTGACGTTCTCCTGTGTGTGACGTTCTCCTCTCTGTGTCATGTTCTCCTGTGTGTGTCGTTCTCCTATGTGTGACTTTCTCCTGTGTGTGACGTTCTCCTCTCTGTGTCATGTTCTCCTGTGTGTGTCGTTCTCCTGTGTGTGACGTTCTCCTATGTGTGTCGTTCTCCGGTGTGTGTCGTTCTCCGGTGTGTGTCGTTCTCCTGTGTGTGACGTTCTCCTCTCTGTGTCATGTTCCCCTGTGTGTGACGTTGTCCTGTGTGTGACGTTCCCCTGTGTGTGATGTTGTCCCATGTGTGTTGTTCTCCTGTGTTTGACGTTCTCCCGTGTGTGACGTTCTCCCGTGTGTGACGTTCTGTTTCGTGTTTCAGATCGATGAGGAGCATCAGACCCAGATTGAGCTGGAAATCAGCCTCATCACCACCTGGAAGGACACTCAGGTACACAAACTCACTCTTGCACAGACACACAGGTGAACCGTAGAACGTAGAACATGTGTTAAGTGTTTCATTCAGCGTCCTGATCTCTGGGACCAATGTGATCATCCGTCTCTATCCCAGCATCCTCCTCTGTTGCCCCACCCTCTGCATGTCCTCCTTCACTACACCCATGAACCTTCTCTGAGGCCTTCCTCCTCTCCTCCTGCCTGGCAGCTCCATCTTCATCATCCTTTGTGCGATGCGTTCCCTCAGCCGGTCCTCGGCGGTTCCTTTTAAAGTTTAGCTGATTTTGCCATTTTGCCTGATTGGTTGATTCTGTACAGCTCTCTCAGGCCGGTGATCTGATCATTGAAATCTATCTGGAGATGAAGATACCTGACTGCTGCATAACTCTCAAAGTAAGGCTGGGCATCCTTAATCAGAACTTTTATTGATAGCGATAATGACGATTACTAAAGCTGTGTGACCTCTGACCCCTGCAGGTGTCTCCCACCATGTGTGCTGAGGAGCTGACCAATCAGGTTCTGTACATGAGGAA